CACTCTTTAGGGTTATCTACAGAGGATAAATGACATTTTGCTTGCCAACCAGCATCAGTCCTATACTCTAAGAAAGTCTATCGTCGTGGACGTAAATCTCCAACTTTTGGCAGCTGATAGTCCAAAACGTCAAAGAAATAAATAGTGGAAAAATAACCAGACCTCATGTATAAGTCAAGGACCAGAGCATTTAATGGCAGCTGGATGTTAAAGAATTGCAAGACCAAGCTTCACTTCTCTTGCAGCTTCATCTTCTGCCAGTCCCTAACTCATAATGCTTTATGAAGAACCAAATGCTCCCAGTGCCTAGAAATACCATGCCTTATGCCTTTCCTGTTACCTTCATCTGGAGGGCCCTTTAGACCTGGTTTTGCCTGGACAACTTTTGCTTATCCTTTAACACTCAACACAGGCTTCACCTGCTCCCCTGGGCAGAAGGACAGGCTGCATGACCTGCTGCTCCTCTGAGTTCCCCCGTACCCTGTTTTAACCTCCATTGTGTCACATGAGACCAGTTCTGTTCAATAGAAATAGAACAGGAGCCACTGGGCACAGTAATTCCAGCACTTTGGGAGGCCGAGGTGGGCAGATCATTTGAGGTCAGGAGTTTGAGACCAGCCTGAACAACATGGTGAAACCCCATCTCTACCAAAAATACAAAAAAAAAAAAAATATGCAGGCATGGTGATGTGTGCCTGTAGTCCAAGCTACTCGGGACGCTCAGGTAGGAGAATCACTTGAACCTGGGAGGCAGAGGTTGCAGTGAGCCAAGATTGCGCCATAGCACTCTAGCCTGAGTGACAGAGTGAAACTCTGTCTCAAAATAAAAAAGGAAGGATATATAATAGGAGCCACATAAATGTTTTTAAAAGTCAAAAGAAACAGGTGCAATTAATTTTAACTGTATACTTTAACTCGGTATCTATCTGATCTAATTATTTTGACAGGTAATCAACACCATGTTAAAACGATTAATTAGATATTTTACAGTATTTTATCATAATAACTTGTTAAAATCCAATGTGTGTTTTACGCAAAGAGCACATCTCTATTCAGACTAATCACATTCTCAGTGCTCAGTAGCCACATACGGCTGCTGGTGACTATGTTGGACACTACAGCCTAATACTGAAATAATCAATTTCTGGGTTTGCCTTCCCTTCTAGAAAGTATGCTGCTTAAGGGCTAGTCAATGTTATATGTGTGATATCATTAGTGTATCTTCAGTGCCTTATATATATGGAGCGCTCATGAAATACTTGCTGAACTGAACTGACCTGAAGGTACTTTGAGAGAAAGTAGAATTTTAGCAGCTGCTCAAATGAAGAGCAGCTTATGCATACTTACAATAATTATGATGACAGAAATGACAGATAATATTTTTCTTGAATGATGTTCTATGCTTTTTAAATATATTATCTCATTTAGCCCTCACAATGACTCTATATACCATATGCCATTATTATATCCATTTTATGAAAGACGAAACATTCCCCAAATTATACAGCTACTAAGTGGAAGAGCCAGAACTTATCAAAATAGAGAAAAGCAAAGTAAATAAGATCAATTATGCGTACACTCACCCACCACAATAAACAGAAAGTTGAAAATAAGCTATCTCCACATAAATTAAAAGCCCTCTCCAATATGGAAGACTTCTCTTAAATTTCATTCACCAACTCCTGCAGTATCTTTTCCAGAGCTTGATGATCTGCTGAGTTTTCCCTTATGCAGGACCTGCTTCTTTACAGATTTCTGAGCCAGACATTTCTGGCTTGATATTTAATATCTTTCATACTCTCCTTCTATATTCGCATTCTGCCTGTCTGGTCAAGACGGTAGAACTTTTTACAAACCACTCCAGTGACTAAAGTCACCTTTCTCAGGTCCCTATCTTCTCCCAAAATAGTGAGAAACAGCAGTGCATAAACTGCTTTCCTCTTCCTGCTGCCTGAAGGACCCCACAACCTCCCTCACATGGCCTGTGGGGGAGGTGAGCAATAATTGTTGACATGTGCTTTTGTTTAAGAGAACTGGGCTGAACTGTGCCTAAGAAAAATGATGCAGATCTTAATTTTTTTTTTTTTTTGGTGTACAAAAATCCCATTATCTCTAAACCACAGGAACCAGAGTCACATCTGGCAAGGGAAATAAAGCTGGAGATGTAAGGAAAGAACAGATTAGGAGAAGCCTTGAAAACAGGCAGCTGAGTTTAGATTTGATGTGGTGGGAAATAAAGATCCCTTAAGGGTTTCTGAGCTTGGGAGGGATGTGATGAAAACAGTGATTAAAGAAGATGAAATACAAGCAGGACAAATTGAAGGGAGGGACTAGAGTCTAAGAGGAAGCAGTGATCTAGGCTCAGGGGAGGTGGAGAAGGCAAGGGTATTTATTAGAAAAGAGGTCCACGATCCTATACAAATTAATTAACATATGCCTACTCCTAATTCACTTTACTACCAAGTTACTACCCCATCTTTTGGTGGGGTTTTTAAAAAAATGCTTTTCCTATATTGGGAAGGCAAAAATAAACCCAGGAGGAAGCAAATATTTTCATTAAAATGATAATAAAATGTCATCCCTATGAATATAAAGGTTTAACCGTGTACCCTGCTGAGCAAATGAGCTTTATTGCAAGCATGTGGAACAGTGTGCTGGGCTGAAATGGATTTCAGAAAAATTTACTTTAGAGCCTTATTCACAGAATTAAACAAACACAATGAAAACAAAGTAGTTTTTTAAAGCAGCCTCCTGCAGATGAAGGCCATATGACAGAACAGAAATGGCTGCCCTCAAAGGGGCAACTCCAGCCTGAGGGTGCACCTAACTCCTTGCCTTCGAGGATGCCAAAAGCATCCCATCTAACCCAGGTTCTATGTCGCAGAAAGAGCACGTCGACACTCAGATAAACAAACACCGTTTGCCTAGCCGCTACTCACGAAACTTTATACCATAAGCCACCAAACTCTTTAATTCTGGCTGCAATTTTAAATGGTCTAGAGACTTAAAAATTACTTCCATTTGTTTAGATCTGGAAAGAACTTTGGAGGACATCTAAACCAATCATTTAATAATATTTTTAAGCTACACAACCCTTTTGCCAATTCAATCTAATGGAAATAGAATGGATCAATATTAAAGTGGAGCTCCTTGGGTAGGGACTGTGGTAAAAGACCCAGAACTCCATCTACTCATTCTCTCTCATTTCCTGTGTCCACCTCTACACCGCAACTTACCCACACTGGGGCAGATCCCCAGAACTCTCCCCAGGGCTGCAGAGAAAGGAGCCTGCAAAATACGGAAGGGTCTACTACCTTTTGTGTGTGTGGCTTCTTGTGACAGATAAAAAATTGAAACCCAGAAAGCTTAACACAGGACTTCCATTTCCAGCAAACTAAATAACCTGGAAAGCCTCCTTCTAGAAATACATGGAATGCTAGCTAAATACAAATATCCATTTAAATGCATAAAATGAACTCAGGTAGACAAACTTATGAGTTTGAAAATGGGCACAACCTATGACCCAGCAGGTCCATGTCTATGTATGTATCCCAGAACTGTTTTTCAACTTGTCAGTGGAGATGCATCACTGGGTCATAAAACACTTTCCTAAATTACAGTGGTGTATGAAATAGTACAGGTTAAGCTGAATTAGAGGTTAAGTGTGGTGGCTCACACCTATAATCCCAGCATTTTGGAAGGCTGAGGGGTGTGGATTGCTTGAGCCCAGGAGTTTGAGACCAGCATGGACAATGTGGTGAAACCCCATAAGTTTCAAAAAAAAAAAATTAGCTGTGCGTGGTGGCACACACTGGTAGTCCCAGCTACGCAGGAGGCTGTGGTGGGAGGATCACTTGAACCTTGGAGATTGAGGCTTCAGTGAGCCGTGATTGCGCCACTGCATACCAGCCTGGGTGACAGAGCAAGACACTGTCTCAAAAATAAATAAATAAATAGGCCAGGAGCTGTGGCTCACGCCTGTAATCCCAACACTTTGGGAGGCCAAAGTTGGCGCATCACTTATGGTCACGAGTTCAAGACCAGCCTGGCCAACATGGTGAAACCCTGTCTCTACAAAAAATACAAAAATTAGCCAGGCATGGTGGCATGTGCCTGTAATCCCAGCTACTCAGGAGGCTGAGGTAGGAGAATTAATTGAACCTGAGAGGCAGAGGTTGCAGTGAGCTGAGATCGCGCCACTGCATTCTAGCCTGGGTGACAAAGCAAGACTCTGTCTCAAAATAAAATAAAATAAAATAAAATAAAATAAAATAAATAGACAGAATTAGACTTAAGTAGAAAATAAAGATAAATATTATTCTGAGAAACTTTTGTTCCATATATGCATACATATGCATACATGTAGAACATGTATGTGCTGGGTTTCCATGTAACTGCGTGGACAAAACATTTTGAAAAATGCTATTGTAGAGAAGTTTTTGTATGTTAGGACAAGGAAATGTACAAGAACACTCACTGAAGCATTGTTTATAACTGTGTAAAATTAAAAGCAATCTAAGTGTTCATCAACAGAAGAACAGACAAACATAGTGGTCTATTCATGAAACAAAGCAGTTCAAATGAATGAACTAGAGCTAAATTGTTGAAATCTTATGCTAAATTAGATAGCAAACAAATGGTAGAATATGTATGGTGTGCTTCCATTTATTTAAAAATGTAAAACATGCAAAATGACAGTACTTATTGTGGAAAGATGCATGTGCATGCAGAAAAGGTGTGAAAGCACATACATGCAAGACAGTGTTTATCTCCGGATGGAAGAAAGGGAAATGGGATTAAGAAGCCTGCAAAGAACTTCAACTATGTCTGAAGCAAACCCATCAAAATGTTGGGATTGCCTCAGACTGGGTGGTGGGACACAGAGTTTTGTCATTTCATTCTATTTTTCTGTTGATTAACTCCCTATGTCACCTGTGTCCATGAACTATGTGAGTTCATTTTATGCATCTGCACATTTAATGATTTTTAAAATCACTCACCTGCGGCCAAAAAGCTGATTGGCAGAGTATTCTGGACTAAACCGAGGGCAGGATCCTAAGTGATTCTCAGTCTAGTCTTCCTTCCACATGGCTGCCAGTTCATGATCTGTTTGCAAATGAAAGGATTTGCATCATTTGGCCCTAATCTTGGTAATTTATTTTTACCTGAGAGATGATGCTCCCCACAGTCCACCAAGGCCACATCTGCTCTGGCAAGAAAGTGCATAAAGCACATTTGCTTTGTGAAGGCTGAGCTGTTACTTCACAGTTTGTCACTTGGCTCTGTTTCCCAACTTCAGTTGTGCATTGCAACAAAATGCTAAGCCACTGAAAGGTCAGTAGAGAGATGATCTAAACATGCAAAAAATATCAGCAGAGACAGGGAGAAACACAAAAGGGAGGGAAGGAAGGAAAAAACAGCTTTGAATGGGAAAAGAGACAAACATAAAAAGCAATCAAATTAAAATCAGGATACTACTGAGAAACCACAAAATAAGTATCAGGTATATTTTAGATGATGGGAGTAACTTGAAAGAGTAGCATTTTTATAGCCTTTGATCACAGATACACAAACTAACAGAAGGAAGTTCGTTAACGTTTGTTTTAGTCTATTGGAAGACAAAAACAACAAGACAAACGATACCTTGGCAACAACTGGGGAATCATAACAGAGAGATTTATGGTGCTTTGGAAAAGTTCAGGGCAATGGTTTTTATTATTGGCTCCTTTACACTCTTCAAGTTATATAAAAGGCTCTTACTTCCGTTTCTTCTTTTGGACTAAATAAATACATAATCATAACTTCCAGGTCAGCTTTAGCTTTTCATGTGGGTGAGTTAAAGCCTTTTGCTTTGCTGAGGGGTGTGGGGGCAGAGGGGTGATACTGGCAGAAAATGAAGATAACCCTTGTCATATAAGGTCCAGAGCAATCATTACCCCGAGTTAAGTAAACTGGGCCAGGTGCAGTGGCTCACACCTGTAATCGCAGAACCCTGGGAGGTCGAGTCAGGCGGATCATCTGAAGTCGGGAATTTGAGACCAGCCTGACCAACATGGAGAAACCCTGTCTCTACTAAAAAAATACAAAATTAGCCAGGTATGGTGATGCATACCTGTAATCCCAGCTACTTGGGAGGCTGAGGCAGGAGAATTGCTTGAACCTGGGAGGCAGAGGTAGCCGTGAGCCGAAATTGTGCCACTGCACTCCAGCCTGGGCAAAAAGAGGGAAACTGTCTCCAAAAAAAAAAAAAAAAAAAAAGTAAACTATATGTGATTCTGTCTTTTGGATACCTATCACCCTGGCATGCCTACCGACTCCATGAACTATGAACATATTCCTTTTGTACTCGTGAAAACTCAGCTCTGTGACAAAATTCTTTTGGTTGTCTCAAGAGCAAATGCAGCAGCAACTAATATTTATTGAGTACTTTACTCTCCTAAGGTTTTTTTTTTTTTTTTTTTTACCTCATTTAGTTTTTAACCTTCTCAGGAAGGTACTATAACTAGCCCCCTTTTTATAGATGGAAAAACTGAGATATAGGAAATTTACACAAGATCACTCAGGTCATCTAAAACGACAGAACCAGGAATTGGAGTAGCCAGCAGATTCTAACAGCTTGAGCTTTTCAGTACCACACTATACTGGGAGGTGGTATTTAAGATAAGGAGAGGCAGCTGCTGAGATGACAGCACCAAATTATGTTAGCAGCCATGAGGCCCCACTCCAGCTACAGTGGTTCTAAGAGGGAAGTATTTACATGCCAATGAAGGTGAGTCACTAAAAATCAGAATCCTTTCTTTAGAATTTCTAGCAACCCACAATATCTGCTTCCAGAATAGGGTAGAGACTTTTCAGAGCTCCTATATATCTTGCCCTACCCAAGTTATGGCTAATTTCTGTTATACCATCAATCCCCAGAGAATCAAAGTGGAGATGGACTTGGAAATGATATTGAATAAAAGGCAAAAGATTGAAGTCTGAGTTCAGGAATGGACTTAGCCCTTCTAGGCCTTGTTTTCCTTGTGTGTAAAATGAAAAAAATAATGCCCACTACATAGGATGGTGAGAATCAAACCAGACAGAGGCATGGAGAACTTTGATGGCACATATTTTTGACATGCAAGGATTTTTTTTTTCTTTGTCCTATCAGTCAAAGGGCACATTACAACCAAATTCTATAAACACCTATGACAAGGCCATGTGAATCCCAAAGAGCCTTCCTTTGTAGTATTATTATTAGTCTTGGTCAGGTCATGTTCCTTTTTTTTTTTTTCTTTTTTCCATCTGTAAGAGGAGGGATATTAATCACCAAGTTTGCCTCCAATTTTGGTATTTTGTGGTTTTGTGTTCCAGGTGTAAGAAAACCAAACCCAGGGTTTCTAAATGGCAGGTTGGGCACTTCTAGGCATCCTTACTCTTCTAAGGTGAACAGTCACATTCCTCACATCCCATCACTCACACAGGAAATCTAACATCTATTATAATTATAGTGGTTCCAATGGCCGGCAAGTTCAAGTGTTAGAGAAAAAGATAACTGGATTGTCTACCAGAGATAGGTGGATATCCCGTTTCACAGGCAACCTGTTAGAAGTGGGGTGATAGCATTCTTACACTTTTGTTCCGGGTAGAGCCAGACACACGAGGAATGCAGGACAATGTGACCTTTGAGGGAGCTTCTAGCCTTGTGATCTCATGTGACTGCTTCACTGATAAGTATCTCTTGAAGCTGATGTCAAGTATGACCAGCCCAGGGCTCTCACAGGTTTCCTGCCTCTCTGCAGGGTCTCTACACAGGGGACTCTCAAGCGCTAGACAATGTTAACTGGAGCGTGGTCCTGTAGCAGCTGTGTGCTAGCTGAATGCTCTCCCATTCCCTCCAGAGCAGGGCTGACCCCATTCCAAGGGAAGCTAGTCCCCTGGGGAGCATAGGAGCTGTGGCTGGGAATGATGGATCCATTCTCAAAGGGAAAGAACATGAGGGGATCAGTCAGTCTGGTCAGAGTCCACTGCATAGACCACCCCCAGTGGTCTCACCCCCTGGGCTCTGCCAGCCTCAAGCAGGTGATGGGACAGTTCACCTATGCAACATGAAACCTGGTTAGCAGCCTCGAGATTCATCATGATGCCAGTGGGCTGAGCTGCTGGCACATTACCATGAGATGAGCATGGGTAGCCTCCCCAGGCCCCATGCAGTGGGAACCCACTATCAGTTCATTCTGGGTCTCCAGCAGGCCATGCTCATTTCTGCCTTGGCTGTTCCCTCCTGAAATGCTTGGTCCTCAGCCTTGCACAGCTGGCTCCCTTCTGTAACTCAAGTTTCATTTCAAATATCACTTTCTTAGGCCTTCCATGGACACAGCCTCCCCAACCCTCTATCACACACCCTGTTTTGTATTTCTTATAGACCTTTTCAATTTCTGAAGTGATCCCATTCATTTTTCATGTTTATTTTCTATTTTCTCTTTTAGAATGTGAGCTCAGTTAGAACCAAGACCCTCTCTGTCTTCACCAATCAATGCTCAGCACCTAGAAAAATGTCAAGCAGATAATGCAGAATCAATGAATATCAGTAGAATTAGTTAATTCTATCTAGGACAGGTGTGCAGTGGCATGAACAGCATTTCTCTCTATGCTGTAAAGCAGTGGTGAGATTTCAAGACTCCAGGGTGGCTTTGGCAGATCTTTTGAATATATAACCATTGTAGGTGCCATCCCCTCTTCTTCTATATAATTCTCTCACTTAGGAATGTTTTTGGTTGCAGGCAAAGGCAACAACAACAACAACCTATTAAAGTACACTGTGATATCAACAAATAGGTTTTCATTTTTCTCAAATAAGAACAAATCAGGAGGGATGCTGTCCAGAGTCAGTGCGGCAGTTCAACCATACAGGGACCTTGGCTCTTTCTCCTTTGTGTCTTCTATTCTTAGCACACGCCTTTCCTCTCATACTTGTCACATCGTGGTTACAAGATGGCTGCTGAATCACCAGGCATCATGCCTGCATTCCAGAGAAGGAGAAAAGCAAAAGGAGTCAGAGCCATGCCTGGGAAATCTGTTGTTCCTTTTTATAAGAAAGACAAAATCTTTCCCAGAATCATATCCAACTAACTTCTATTTATATCTTCTACATTAGAATTGGGTCACAATGCCACTCTCATCCAATTACTGACAAAGAGAAATGGGATTACTATGACTGGTTTAGACTATCACAATTCATCCTCGGAGACTGGGGTAGGAATGTATCTTCCCTGAGATCAAGCTATTGTCATACTGTCCTGAACAAATTGGGATTCTAATAGGAAAAATGAGAGAGACATGGCTGTTAGCTATACTATAGCTAAATGAACTAGAGGGGGATTTGACCGATAATTAGGCCTATACACTTCTCTTTGCCAAGAATTACAGCTGAGACACAGACACAGAGAAAAAGGGAGATCCCCTGCACCATTGTGTTTCTGAACTTTCTTGAGATGTGGTTGTTTAAATTCTTTAAATTTTATCAGATGCTTAAGTATTTTACTACCCTAAAAGTGTCTTCTTTTCCTGAAGCAAGTTCAAGGTGATTTCTGTCGTTTAAAACCAAAGTGTCTTTGTTACAGGAGTGTCTAACTACAAACATTCTGCGTGGCCCAATCAGGCTGTGCTGCATGGTTTAATATAGGGTGTCAGACAGTCATTCACACCTCCCTCAGGAACAGCAGGGCCCTTTGCACCAAACCCTCTGCTCCTCCTGAGGTGACCGGAACATTGTAGACATTACGTCATCAGCCCGACAACATCCTCCTTTCCTCTTTCACGTTCAGACAGCATTTGCTGAGGTCCCAAGTGAACAGAGAGGCCTTTGGACACTAAAGGCCTGTGTTGTACAGAGGGATGGAGGTTGTACAACATCATCCACACTAACTAGTGGAGCACTGGGACTGCTGAGCTATCACATCACAAGTCCATGACAAAGGCAAAAAACACACTGTACCTTCTGATCATTAGCCCAGTGCTCTTTTTCTTTTCTAAACCACCTGATTATCTAGGTCAAACACAAATACATTCACACAGTCATCCACACCCCCTCACACAGTCACCCCCCACAATGAGGAAAGACTATAATGTGTAAAGCCTGCCCAGCCCAGCTTAGGATTCCCTTCCTGCTAATAGCCACAAGGAATATTTTGGGGCAGATTACAAGGATTATCACTCACCTGTTCTACAAGGATATCTCCACAGATTTCTTGCTCTGTCATCTCTAAACCTGATCTAAATTCTTTGTTAATGTGTATCTTTCCCCAACTTATGCAAATTTTAGACAGGGTTTCTCAAAATGTGTTGCTTGTAACTTACAGGTTTTACATGAACAAATGGTTCTGTCAGATAACTTTTGGGAACACCTGGTTAAAGAAAGTTAAATGGCTTTTTCATTGCCAGACACTGCAAAGCTGTCAATATTCTAACATGCATGATGAATATCTAAGAAAGGGATGCAGCATGTGGCATTTTCCAAATTTATTTAATCACTTAATGAAAGTTTTTTTCTTGACATATATGAAAGACTGATAATCTAAGAGATGAGCTTTGGGAGACACTGCTGGTGGGAAGGAGTGCAGGGGTACATCCTAAAACCTCCTACCCGTAAGTACCAAGAGACATATTCTGTGACTGGGTTTAGTAGGTAAGGCCTGAACTTAGGTGTTCCCTAGTAAATATTGCTAGATAGTTAGAACTGCCACTTAGCACACAGCACCCGAGTCCTGCGTTACAGCTGCTATGCTGGGCAGAAGCACCTTGCTGTATGGGGGGAGTATACTGTGTTCTTGGACTAATCACGTTATTTCTCTCAGCATTAGGTTCCCCTCCCTGAAAATAAGCATTTTAGGCCATGGGAGAATGGGAAGAATGAAGTCATTACTGGAGAGTTGAATACACTATTAGTTTTCTTCTGTTCCAACCTTTAATCCAAGCAATTTTGGTTGATGTGAGGGTAATAAGCCACACTGACTTCAGTGACCTGACATGAATTAAACAGTTATTTGTCTTGTCTAGATCCACTTTCCCAAAAAGACCACTTGGCACAACATAAAAATATCCTGCCTACCTATATGCAAACATATCCCTAAATATCTGGCACTGATTCCGTTGCCACCTAAACTTTATATGCTTCAAGCATCCCTGAACTGACAACATGATTTCAGGAGAATTAAATGCCTGGATTGACAATGGTTCTACCAAAGCTTCATCTGTAGGCCATCCAGAAAGAAAAGCTCCTTTTCCTGGCAGGCTATTTTTCAGGGGTAGAGAAAGTCAAGTCAAAGAAGAGAATAACTGAGCAAACTCATTTATCATCACAATTTAATAATATAAACTGCAATTCATAAAATAAGTCTGAGAGAATTTTGTGTCTAACTCTAAAGGTTCAACATTAATAGCCATGTGATAATACAAAAAAATCATTGTTTATCTTTATCCCCAAGAGGAGTATGTTCAGGTTATATTAATAAGGATCATAACTTCTCTGAATTTACTTTGGCCTTATACTCCTCTAAATGAAATCATTTGAAGTGTCTGAGAAAAGTTCAGGTTTTAACCACATCCCTGTCTCTTAGTTCTATGAAAGAAGGAATGGTCTCTGTAGCAACGGGAACAATAATATTAAAAGGCATAGTAGTGTAATCGGAAAAAAATGAACAAGAGCATCAGAGGACCAAGATTCTAGTCAGTTTTCAGATAGTTGATGTGCTTAGGGGTTGGAGCGTGTCCACCAAAAAATTCATATGTTGAAGTCCTAACCCTCAGTACCTCAGAATGTGATCTTCTTTGGAAGAGAGGTCTTTACAGGGGCAATCAAGTTCAAATAAGGTCATTAGAGTAAGCCCTAATCCAGTATGACTGGTGTCCTTATAAGAAGAGGAAATTTGAATACAAACATGCAAAGAGGGAAGATAATGTGAAGAGACACAGGGAGAAGATGGCCATGTACAAGCCAAAGAGAGAGCCCTGGAACATATCCTTTCCTTACAGCCTCAGAAGGAGCCAATCCTGCCAACCCTTTGACTTGTGGATGCTCCATCTCCAGAACTGTGTGAGACAGTAAAGTCCTGTTGTTTAAGTCACCCAGTTTGTGATACTTTGTTATGGCAATCCTGACAAATTAATGCAGCTGTTTTCCTGGGTAAGTCTTTTAATATCTCAGGGTCTCAGTCTCCTCGTCTATAGCATTAGGGGGTAGATGGCCTTTGGAATTGCTTTTATCTATAAAGGTTAGTAATCAATGATACAGGTAGCCTCTCTCCAACTCTCTTGAGATATACACAAGTACCATCTTCTGAGAAAAGCTTTCTGTCTTATCTACAGATCAATGGATTATAGATGGGTTGAAACCAGCTTTGATTATCCCATCTGGCCACCCTAATTTATAATTCAGTAATGACTTTAGTAAGCAAAATAAGGAGGAAAGGAGGCTCATAGTCTCCTGTGAAAGGCTACAAACTCAGTTCATCTCTTTTTACAAGGAATTCATCATCTGGAAAAACTGACTTCTAACAGATTCTAATGGAGGTGCTAGGGTGGGGCTCAGGCAAAAAGATCAATAACAAATGTAAATTTTATGATGTGGTTCTCCATGGCGGAACCTCTGTCAAACAAATAACAAAAGCACACATTTTGTGCTCTCTTCACAACCCATTTCTGGACTCTCTGTCACTCAAATGTTTATCCTGAAAGAAAACGTTTCAGGCACAACTATTAAACTTCTGAATGTTACTATCCTGTTCCTTCTCACCAATAAAACAGTTAATGACAAGGACTTTTTGCAACATTTATCAACCTCTCATCAGCAAGTATTATCTTGGTAAAATCCCAAACTATTAATGCTTCTTCAAAGCCTGGAATATAGTATTAATGTCAGAATCATAATGGGTAAGAGGAACATTTTGGCAACAGAAATTGTAATTCTAAATGCTATAAAACAGAACTAATGTTCTAGCTCCCCTTCTGTGTACCTCATTGAATATATACTTTCCTGCCAAAAGAAATAGGAAGATAAGCATCCTACTCTATAATACAATTTTATCATTGCAAACCAGGGTCACCTTCTTAAGTAGCTGAACAGTTGGCTTAGCATCAAGTATACTAAAATAAAACTCAACATACTTTGCAAACATATATCCACCATTTAAATGGACAGTGCTTGCATCAGTCAGGATCCCAGTGAGAAAAAAACACTCATATTAGGATAATTCAAAGAAGGTTTATTTAATAAGGAACTTTTTACAAGGGTGTATACAAGATGTAATAGAACCACAAGGGTTTGCAGGTAAAAACCAAAGATTAGAAGCTGAAGTGCTTACACCACCCTTATGCACAAGGAGATAAGGAGGAGTTGCCAGAATCAGGAAGAAGAAAGTCATGTTGAGAGGAGAGCCCGATACCCTGATTTTACTTACCTCCCTCACTTCAGTTTCCTCCCAGGACACCCCATTGTTCAAACCCAATTACAGACAGAAAAAAAGAGTGCCCATTAATGTGTTCCATGAGGGTCAGCCTCTAAAGACCAGGGTGAATAGATTTGGAGGGGGTGATTGGACAATATGTAGCATAGTGCTAAATAACCCCAACAAACTCATTGGGATACTATTTGTAAATTTTGAGAGTAGAAAGATGTCTACTCCTGTTCACCACTTTATTCCCAGCTATATCATTCCAATACCAGTGAATTCTCTGCTTCTCTTGTTACCAGTAGAGGCTGTCTAGGTTCTGGGCATCTTGAACAAAGAATTGGACAAAACACACAAAACAAGGAAGGAATGAAGGGATTTACTGAAAATGAAAGTACATTCCATAGTGCGGGAGTGGGCCTGAGCATAGGGGCTCAAAGGCCCTGTTACAGAATTTTTAGGAGCTTAAATACCCTCTAGACAATTCCATTGGTTACTTGGTGTATGCCCTACGTAAATGGAGAGGAGCAAGTAAAATTACAAAGTCATTTACTCAGTGTACACCCTATGGAGAGGATATTTCCTGTCATAGCTGAAGTGTGAATGGGTCTTATGTCCCCTGCCTCCAGACCCTATTTTCCTGCCTCATTCTGAAGCCAACTGGGTGGCAACAATTCAACTTGATTCAGACACTAGCTACCCAGAGTTAGCCTAGACCCTACACAGTAAGGCTTCGGTTCTATAAGAAGCCCTCAATTTAGATGCTAGCTGTACATGATGTCTCCAGGCTACCTGCACTTCTGCCCAGTCTACCACAAATTTGGGGGTTTCCACAACAACTCCCCAGGTTCAATAGTTTGCTAGAACAACTGGCAGACTCAGAAAAGCTATCTACTTTCAATTATACTTTTATTATAAAGGATACAATTCAGGAACATCCAAATGGAAGTGATGCACAGGACAAGGTATGGGGCAGGGAGGGGACACAGCTCTTCCATGCTGTCTCTGAGTAATACACCCTCCCAATATGTCAATGTAGTCACCAACCAGGAGGCTCCCTTAGCCTTATTGATTCAGAGTTTTTATGAAAGCATCGTTACCACATAGACAGGATTTACTAAAGCATTTCCTACTGCTGATTAAACTCAGTCTCCAGCCCCTCTCCCCTCTCTGGAGGTGGGGAGGAAGGCAGGGCAGAGCTGACAATTCTAACCCTATAATCAGGTGGTTGGCTCCTCTGGTGACCAACCCTTATCCTAAAGCTATCTAAGCACTGCCCTCTTTAGTCACCTCATTAGCATGCAAAAGACACTCTATCACTCAGGAATTTCCAAAGGTTTTAGGAGCTCTGTACCAGAAACTGGGACAAAGACCAGATATATATTTTTTCTCATGTTACACCAACACATTGTACCACACAGGACCTGGCCCATAACAGACACTCAATATTTACTCATGGATGATGCAGTCTTCAGCAGGCCACTCTAGGGTTCTTTCTTAATTCTTTCCTGCCTTGTTTTCAAGGTATTAGTGCATCTGTTAGGCCTAAATTCTACATGGCTTTAAGATCCACATCCCCCTCTAGCTGGATACCTTGAGAAGACAAACCTTAATGGCCCCCTGAACCTTAGAGAAATTCATACCTCTTGACATCCCAGGCAAAGGTAGACTCAAAGAAGAAATATTCACTAAGATCTTTTAGAAATGGATTCTTAACTATTGATGAACTAGCTTCTTCAGTCTCTTCACAGTTTCATCTCTTCCATCATCAACCACCAGGCTCTTAGGTCCTTAAAAAGAGAAGGAAGCTAAGGTTGGACATTTTCTGGGGGTGGTGGGATATTTTGTTCTAATGTCATATGCTGTACATCATGCTACCAAAAAGAATGTACATTCTGGATGGTTACGCAATGATGTGAGTTCCACCTTATTCTTTAAAAACTCCAAGTGATCAACATTTTACATATTACGGGGGGAAAAGATTTCTACCAGGAGAAAATATGAAACCAGGAATGAGGAAAACAAAAGGATGGAGCAAGGCTATTCCAAATCAACTTGAGAAAATGAAAGTGAAAAACATAAACCCATTCAGGGCTAGCGTATCTTGAAAACATGATGTGAAAGTTTGAGACTTAAATATGGGTAAGGCGGAAGAGTGTTGAAGTTTTGTACCTATGAGCAGAGCAAGGTGTCATTCTGATGGCCTGATAGGTTTCCCTATGGCTAGTAATGGCTTTCTAACATTAACAAAAATGGACAAAGCTCTATTACCAAACTCTAGGTTCTCTACATGAAGAGTTATCCAATGGCTTGAATAGGTCCTTTAGGGGAACATTTTTAGCCCTGCTCACACAGTCATAGCGAACCTTTCTGTGGAAGTGGGGTGCCTTTCAGCCTGAGCAAAAGTAGTAAATGGATTCCTGAATTTCTTCAGTTGAGTGTCCTCTCTGGGTAATGCATCCTCTGTGCATGAGACACTTGTTTTGATTAGTAAGCACACATATCATCACTTCAGGCACTGATCAAAAAAATGCAGCCAAGAACAGATTGTGATATGCAGTTTGCAAAAGTTTGCTAGAGACTCTTGATACTAGGAACAATTGCCTAAGGTCATTGTTCTAAAGCCAGTTGATCATCCTAAATAACCAGGTGGGGAGGGATAGACAGGTAGGTCATTGAAAGGAAAGACAGCAACAGAGAATGGAGTGAATATCTAAGCCCCACTCAAAGTTGTACTTAATCAAAATTTCTAAAGGGAGGGACTTTTAAAAGTCACAGCCTTTCCCCCTCCCCACAATCATACAGTAGTGAAAGGTAAATCAATTATCCTTTCCATATCTCTACACTATACTTACCTGGATTGGGTGCATTAAAATAACATGGAGAATCTTTTCCAAATATTCTGAACCTCCTCTCTTCCCTTCATCCCAGCTCTTCTTCAGTTGAGATGCACTGAGCACTACTTCTCTATTACACTCAGCTACTAAATAGAAATATATTTGGGTCACATATCTTAATTCCCTGCTGACATACTTTAATGGAATTAATATTTAACAATACACACTTGACTTAGATCAGAAATGCCTTACAGGAGTTACCTATTTGAATTTTACGTTGTTACATCTTCTGGAAAATCATAGTTTCAATCATCTGATACATTGTCCCATGTCTATTACATAAACCCTTCACAAAAATTTCATGTCAGAAGAGAGGTGGTCCCCCCAGCAGAACATGTCTGTGTCTTTCTAACAGACCATGATAATGAGATAATGCAAAGCATAGCCCCAGTGTCTCAGTTGCTAGGAAACAAGCCTTTTTTAAAGAAATAACTGTGCATATTGATAAGAATCCTTTGAAGTGGAGCCTTATAAGACAATGCTGTCCAATAGAACTTCCTGTGATGACAGAAATGTCCTATACCCATACTGTCCAATTCAGTAGCCAGTAGTCACATGGCTAGTGAACACTTAAAATGTGACTAGTGCAACTGACGAATAAATTTGACATTTTATTTAATGTCAACTAATTTAAACAGCAGCATGTGGCTAGTAGCTACATTGAACAGCATGACTGTAAGGTTACTTTTTCTTTCAGACTTTGTAGTTAGTACTTACACAGAAGTAAAACAATAGAATTTTTTATGGTAGTTTCAATTTAGGTGCAAATACTATGCTTAAATTATGAGTGTCATTGTCTTTTAGTAATATTGTTTGAAAGGATTTGTGCTTAACCGGCCTTGACTATAGAAGTTTGGCTGCTTCTAATAGAGAGGAAGAGTCTCACGTCCTCTCTCTCGGGCAGACTTATTTAACAGGACATGTCTCTGGTCTGGGCTGACGACAGAATCGCTGACCTTCTGCTGAACAGTGCCACCCCACCTAAGTGATGGTGAGGAGTGGGGATAACATGTATTCTCCCCTCAGCTAGGGAGGGACCCTTCAATATTCCAAACCCACCTAATAGAGGGAGGGCAGGAGGTGGCTTTAAAGCTGGCTTTGTTTAATTCACACATGGAGAAAGTGCTCTCTGTGTAAGGAATAGCCCAGTGGGTTTGCCAGATTTCTCAACCTCGACACTACCGACATTTGAGTCTGATAATTTCTTTGTTGTTGGGGGCTGAATTGTATTTTATTAGAAGTTGAGCAGCATTGCTGGCTTCTGCCCATTACATTCCATAGCATCCCCCATTCCTCCTAGCAGTGGTAACTGAATATTTCCCCAGACGCTGTCAAATGTCCTCTGGGGGGCAAAATCAGAAGGGATTGAGAACTGTTGACTTAGACAGTAAGGTTTTAGACTGGAGACAACTTAAGAAAGGAGACCCAATCTAGCTTAGTTTTTTTTTTTTTTTTTTTTTTGCTGTTATTTTGTTTTATTATTTTTTAAAAATATCCAGTCCCTAGCAGATGCCTGGTACATGATATGCATTCAAGTAAATATTGCTTGGATGAATGAATAAAAAGCCACTATTATATATTTTTAACCTTTAAATTATCTGCTTCAGTGCCTAACATAGTGTAAGAGCCAATGAACACATGTTTTCTGGTCTGTTAATATTCTTACAGGTGTAAACGAAAAGCAAGAATTCCTACCAATGACTACTTGAGGAAGAAAAATCATAGGAAAAATAAATCTTTTGCACGTCTTAACATGCATGAAGCCATCTTCCTGGCCTTAAATTCCTAGGAATTTAAGCTAGAAATGTAAGTCTAAAAATACAGACTTACCATGTCCACAGGAAGTGCCATAATTGCAAGAGAAAAAGCAAGGCTCCCTTTCTTCGTTGGGCCGGTTACCGACCCGGCCCAGTCCGCAGGCACGGGAAAGTTGAACTAATAAAGTTTGTACGAGTGGAGGCGGCGGCAGGTTGAGTGGAGGTTGAGTGGAGGAGGCGGTGGTGAGACCCCGGACCAGGCTTTGAAGAGCTGGGGCTCCGGGAAGACACGCTGAGGGTCCTAGCTGCCTTCCTAGGCGTGGTGAGCCTGCTGGGTCTCCTGTTCCAAGTCCACTCAGCCCTGCCCAAGAAGAGCCAACAGACTTCCTGAGCCGTCTTCGAAGATGTCTTCCCTGCTCCCTGGGGCGAGGAGCAGCACCCCCTGAGTCCCCTCGGCCTTGCTCTCTGCCCATCCGCCCCTGCTATGGTTCAGAGCCTGGCCCAGCTACTCCAGACTTCTACGCCTTGGTGGCTCAGCGGCTGGAACAGCTGGTCCAAGAGCAACTGAAATCTCCGCCTAGTCCAGAATTACAGGGTCCCCCACCCACAGAGAAGGAAGCCATACCGCGGAGGCCGGTGGCCCTGCTGGAGGAGTAGGCAGAAGTTATTAACCAGAAGCTGGCCTCGGACCCCGCCCTGCGCGGCAAGCTGGTCCGCCTGTCCTCCGGCTCTTTCGCCCGCCTGGTGGAGCTGTTCTGTAGCCGAGGGGACAACTCTCGCCCAAGCCGAGCATGCCCCGGGCCCCCGCCTCCTTCCCCGGAACCCCTGGCCCTCCTGGCCCTGGCCATGGAGCTAAGCCGGCGCATGGCCGGGCTGGGGGGCACCCTGGCTGAACTCAGCGTGGAGCACGTGCACAGCTTCACGCCCTGGATCCAAGCCCATTGGGTGAGCCATTGAAGCCTCTCTCTTCGGGCCTCACTTTACCCAACTGTCATGTGATAGAGGTTTTTGGGTTCCTCTCAGACCTCAGGTATTCTCCCAGCTCCACTGCGTTCGTTCTGTGTTGAGCCCTTGCTGTATGCCAGGACTGCAGTGATGAGTGCGGACGCTATACCTGGCGTCAACGACTGGGTACACTAATACTGTGAGCGTGAAACCAGTGACTGCGGTTACTCAGAGAGAGGCCGGGCGAGGTGGCTCATGCCTGTAATCCCAGAACTTTTGGAGGCCGAGGCAGGAGAATCATTTGAGGCCAGGAGTTCAAGACCAGCCTGGACAACATAGTAAGATCCCCATCTCTACAAAAATTGAAAGTAATTAGCCAGGGTCAGGTGTGGTGGCTCACGCCTGTAATCCCAGCACTTTAGGAGCCTGAAGCAGGTGGATCACCTGAGGTCAGGAGTTTGAGACCAGCCTGGCCAGCATGATGAAACCCCGTCTCTACTAAAAACATACATAAATTAGCCGGGCTTTGTGACAGGTGCCTGTAATCCCAGCTACTCGGGAGACTGAGGCATGAGAATTGCTTGAACCTGGGAGGCAGAGATTGCAGTGAGCTGAGATCGCGCCATTGCACTCCAGCCTGGGTGACAGAGTAAGGCTGTGTCTCAACAAAATAATATAATAATAAAAACCGGGTGCAGTGGAAAAAAAATTAAAAAATTAAAAAAAAAAAAAAGAAACAAAAAGCAAGGCTCCTTGACCTCCTCACCTCCTCTCCTCACCAAAGTTCATCTGGGTGCTGGGTCAGTAAAATTCCTTCCTCACTGACTGTGGGAGCGGGTCCTCTTCAGTACCAGACACAATCTCCAAGAGCCCAGGCTGCCAGCTTCCCTGCAGGAGAAAAATAGACAGCTCTGTTCAGTTTGTGGTTCCTGAACCTTTAAGCTTCATTTGCCAGCAGGTAATGCTTTTATCTCATTTGTCATAATCAAACCCTGAAGAATAAATCTACTACCTAATTAAAGCTAAACCCTCTGCACCTAAAATTTAGGAGACATCTCATCTCCAAGTACATATGGAATAGCATGGCAGGGAGAAAATAAAGGCATTCCCACCACGTACAGATTTAAACCGACAATACATTTAGCATAATCTGCCCTTCACCGTCTCTTTACCTAAACTCTTTATGGCATTTTAAGCTTCCTGGACAAGATTTTCTATTTAATGGGAAATATCGCTAAGTTCCATATCACTGACTGTACATTTAAAGAACTGCTGCATTCAAACAACCAAAATCATTAAGGGACACTGCTATTTTTATCAGGGATAAGGTCAGAGCATTTATTATAATTAAACAAAAGAGCAGAAGGAAGGAATAGTGGTTTGCCGGAGACAAATTAGAAACACCTGGGAGGTGTTTAAAAGTCCCAAGGGTCAGGCCACACCTCAGATCAACTAAATCAGTATCTCAGGGGTGATACCTAGGCATTGTAATTTTTAAAAAAATAAATGCTTTATTTTAGAACAGTTTTAAGTTTACAGAAAAATTGAAAAGGTAATAAGGAAGTTTCCATATATGCCACATCCAATTTCCCCTACTAATAACACCTTACATGAGCATGGTACATTTCCTGCAATTAATGAGCCAATACTGATACATTATCATTAACTAAAGTCTGTAATTTATTCATGTGTCCTTAGATTTTCCCTAATATCCTTTTTCCTTTTCCAAGATTTCATTTGGAAAACCCCAGTACATTTGGTTATCATGATGTTTTAGGTTCTTCTTAACTGTAACAGTTCTCAGATTTTCCTTGTGTCTGATGACCTTGACTTTTTTTGAGGAATACTGGTCAGATATTTTATTGAATATCCCTCAGTTGGGGTTTGGCTGATGTTTTTCTCATTATTAGACTGTGATTACGTGCTTTTGGGAAGAATACCATAGAAGTAAAGTGTCATTCTCATCACATCTGATCAAGGGCACATACTGTCAACATGACATTGATGTTAACCTTGATCACCTGGCTAAAGTAATGTATGTCAGGTTTCTTTAGTATAAAGTTCCTCTTTTTCCACCTTTCCATATTGTACTTTTTGGAATAAAGCGAATATGTTTAACCCACACTTAAGGAATGGAGGAGTTACGTTCTACTTCCTTGAGAGCAGAATATCCACATAAATTAGAAGTATTTAGCACAGGAAATTTGCCTATTCTTCATTTATTTATTTATTCAATAATGTACTCACATCAGCATGGATGTATATATATTTATTTCACGTTTTGGGTATCAGTTCAATACTAAAGTACTGTATTCATTTTGTTGCTCAAATGTTCCAACTTTGGCTACTGGTAGTTCTTTTAGTTGGCTCTATGACCCTTTGACATATCCCCTTTGTTGTGTGTGTGTGTGCCTGTGTGTGAGGGCTTTTTTTTTTTTCCTGGAACTTCCTTACTTTTTGGCATACAAGATGCTCCATGCACACCTTCTATATTTTCTTCTGTCATCCTAGAATCAGCCAGTTATCCAAGCTGTGGTTCATTTAGTTGGAGAATAGAAAACAGAAAATAGAAACCAAGAGCTTGGTGCTAGGTATACTCATTGCTACTGGGGTGTCATTAACTCTAGACCTTCTCAACTGACAGAGCAAGGAAATACGTGTGCATATTTTAACCCATATCGATATAAATACACATATCTATAAATATTTCTATACGTAACCATCAATATCTATAATAAGCTAATAGGAGTTGATATGATGTCTCCAACTATTATCCATTACCTCATAGATGATTCCAGCCTCCTCGTTTTGCTTATCTGTAACCTCCCACACCAACAGTGAGAAACTTGGCTCTCACCATTATCCATCCATTTACTTAATTGCTCAATTCTCGTATGCATGTATAGCAGAGTCAGAATTGCTAACCTGTACTTCCACAGAAACAACTTTATCAGCTGGAGTAGCATGCTTATGTTATAGGCTCCTTTATAGCCTTTACTCTCACAGTCTCCATTCATTTCTAAAGTTGTTTAGGTCACCACCATTTTTCCTTCACACTCCTCAGTGAGGTTGTTTTAATACATTTGTAATACAGTTAGCTTATTTTGTCATAATTTTGCATTTCATCCTGGAAACCTCCAATCCCCTAAACGATTTGTTAAAGTCTCACATACATTAAGGTTCACTCTTTGTGTTCCAAAGTTCTATAGGTTTTGACAAATGCATAAAATTATGTAACCATGATTACAGTATTATATAGAATAGCTTCACTGTCGTAAATAATCCCCTGTGCTTCACTTATTCAATCCTCTCCCCCTTTCCCTAAGCCCCTGGAAACCACTAATCTTTCTATTATCTCTATAGTTTTGCCTTTTTCAGAATGTCATTGAATTTGAATCATATAATGTGTAGCCTTATCATACTGGCTTCTTTCACTTAGCAATATGTACTTAAGATTCATCCATATCTTTTTGTGGCTTGATAGTTCATTTTCTTTTATTGTTGAATAATATTCCATTGTGTTGATATGCCACAGTTTGTCCATTCATGTATTGAAGGACATCTTGGTTGCTTCCATCCATAATTTTAGCAATTATGAATAAAACTGCTATAAACATTCACATACAAGTTTTTATATGGATATAAGTTTTCAAGTCAATAACTTAGTTTTCACATCAGTAAAAATATTTGATTACTAGATAGTATATTAAGACTGTCAGGCCTCTTGAGCCCAAGCTAAGCCATCATATCCCCTGTGACCTGCAGGTATACATCCAGATGGCCTGAAGCAACTGAAGAACCACAAAAGAAGTGAAAATAGCCTGTTCCTGCCTTAACAGATGACATTTCTCCATTGTGATTTGTTCCTGCCCCACCCTAACTGATCAATCCACCTTGTGACATTCCTTCCCAGGACAATGAGTCTCATGATCTCCCCACCCTGCACCTTGTGACCTCCACGCCAGCCTGAAAGAGCTAACCACCTTTAAGTGTACTTTTCCACTACCTACCCAAATCCTATAAAACTGCTCCACCCCTATTGTCCCTTTGCTGACTTCTTTTTCGGACTCAGCCTGCCTGCACCCGGGTGATTAAAAAGCTTTATTGCTCA